AGTCCATTTTATTTCACAGTTCTTAGGACTGAATTTTTCAAGCCCTGAGATTCCTCCAACAAGTTTTTAAAAGGCTCCATTTATTAGACTGGTCACATGATGTAACACAGAGAGGAACCTGCCCAGCTGTGTGGCTGCATTTAATACTGTATAAACTATACTAGGCATTGCTAATAAAAGAAAGTCCCTTAAGCTCCTCTTCCCATTAACAATGTCACAGTCCCTTTTACCTTGAATTTCTTCAGTTCTTCAGCTGTTGGTTTTACACAGCATGTGTGATAACTCATTCCCTTAAGTGATGTAAATTCATTTTAGCTTGATCAAAATACATTAACACAGAAAGAGATCATTAAGTCATACAGATTGCACAACAAATCCATTATACTAGACATTGTATATGTCCAAAAACTATACAAAAAGAAGTCCTATAACTTAATATGCCATTTGATAACTCATCCATTCTTACTGAAAATCTCATTAAATCCTGTGCTGTTAATTTCACAGGGTGAGGGTACAGACAAAAATTAAAGAAAAACAGAAAACAAAGAGCAGATGGGAGTGTGAATGTGTGTGAATGGGCAGCAATAAGAGAGTATAAAATAGCTATGAAGAGTAATCAGAATCAAATGCATTCAATTTGCAGCAGCTCTTCTGGACTGGGGCATCCTAAAATGAAGGACTGGTGAAGGACTTCGCTTCTCATCTAGGGTTTGTGTTTTTACACTGATTTAGAAGCATTAATTTCTGCAGCTACAGAAGGGTCATTTTTCCCCCTCACTGAATATGAAATTAGCGTAATTGGGCTGAAATTACTTGTGCCATTTCACAGTCTGGCAAGGAGGCGAGGGCCTGACTTACTGCTCACAAAACCTACCTGTCAGCAACTGTGGGTTCTGAGGACTGTCCTCATTTTTTTCAGGCCACCTGGATCATTGTGGCAACTACAGCTAGGAGGGAACTGTTGATGCAAGGAGCTGCTCTAACAACATTTCATCCTACACTTAGCACATTCCCTGCTGACACTTTCCTGATCACTCTGTAAACTGCAGAAGAGGCAAAACCACTTCTGTAGCTTTTTAAATTTTCCTTGGTTTGGACCCCTAACATTTTTCTAATGGGGTTATAGACCTCTGTACAATAACTCTAAACCCAATAACAATTGGTTTGCTGTTCCTAGCTTCCTTCATGGACCCTTGTTTTAAAAACCCAGAAGATAACTTTTCTGTATCAGGGCAGCTCTCCAGAAGGCTACAGTGCTTTGGAGGTGACATCAGGGAGGTGTCACTCAGCACTCACCTTGACTAATCTGAAGCAGATAAAATATATTAATACTTAAAATATATAAGCTAACCAAAAGCTACATCAAGAAAATGGAAAGTAATCACAATATCAAATAGCTTCCTAGTTGTATAAAATATGGTCATCAGTACAGTTGTTTATGTACAAAAAGAAAGCTTAACATATTTAATAGACGGCACCATTTTCAGAGTATGGTTCAGTAAGCAGTTTATACTGAGAGATGCCCTGATGTAAGAGGCTTGATCTAGTTCAAGAGACTGTTACATGACCAAATTTTAAGTGGATACTTCAATTAGTACCTGGACTTTGTACCAAGGTACCAGTACCTTGACTTTGTACCAGTGTTACCCATAAACATGTTGCTAGTATCCTACACTGCACTGTGTCACATCGACTGCTTATGGACTCTGGGATGCCAGTGCAGCTACACTGTGAGGGTATTTTGTGCAGCCCAGCCTTCTGCCTGGGGGACCAGACAGTGCCTCCAAGGCAGCAATGCTGCACTTCACAGTTTGCATCTCAGATCTGCAAAAGGAAGCCACAGTCTCAGCATCACACCTGGAAAACCATAATGCTAGAAGCAGTAGTTCTACATAGCAAGAGAAGTACAAGCCACTGCCATAGCACCAATCCATCCCAGATCACACTGTCAAGGACGGCATCAGCTGTGCCAAACCTCAACATGCCAACAGTAATATATGTTCCTTGTCAAGTCAAATAAGTATCAGCAGGTGACACAGGTGGATGACATGAAACTGAGGGGAGCGACTGATAGACTCAAGGGCAGGGCTGTCATTCAGCAGGACTTTGAAAGACTGGAGAAATGGGCCAACATGAAGGCAAATGTAAAGTCCTGCACCCTGGATATAATAAACCCATACAACAGCCAGGAGCTGACTGGATAAAACAGCAGCTTTGCAGAAAAGGTCCTGGGGGTCCCAGTGAGTGAGCAATTGCTCTTGTAGCAATGAAAGCTAATCATATAGTGGGCTGCATTGGTAACAGCATAGCCGGTACCAATCAAGGGAAGTGATTACTGCCCCCACCTGGCACTTGTGAGACTGCCTATGGAGTACCCTGCACAGTCTGGGACACTGCAGTACAAGAAAGATATTGGCAAGCTAGAATGAGTCCAATGGAGGGTCACCAACAGGGAGCTGAAGCATGTGATAAACAAGGAGACACTGAGAAAGCTGGGTTTGTTCAGCCAGAAGAAGAGAAGGCTACAGGATGATCTAATTGTTGTCTTCTGGTACGCAGTAAGAGGGAATAGAGAAGACAGAGCCAGACTCTTCTTGGAGGTGCACAGCAAAACGGCAAAAGGCAACCAATCAATTTACAACATGGCAAATTCCAAGTAGATATAAGCGGAGAAAAAATTCTCACCCAGTAAGGGTGGACAAACTGCTGTGGCAAAGAGGTTGTGAACTCTCCCACCCATGATGATATTCAGAACTCAGCTGGACAAGTTGCATGGTGAGCTTCAGCTAAGGAAGCTCAAGGGGAGGTAGCTAGCTTCCAGTTACGATGATGCACTAGATCCCAGCCCTATTTCTGCTTGTGGTCAAAAAGGGCCTCTTGCAGATGGCCGCTGCTCCAGGGAGTAGGCCTCTAGTGACTGCTGAACACAAAGCTGGTGCAATGATGAGAAAAGCATGGAACAAGATTGTTAGGACTGGACATATAGAATAGCTGTATGCAGATCCTGAGGAGAAGGCAGATGTTTCACAGACTCTGGAACACTGGTACTAATTCCTAGTACCTGTTCTGCTTTGTGCTTACATGTCTCCATGACAAACGAACAGGGAATGCATTTCTCTGTAACTGTGAGTCATTGCAATATTAGAATAGTTCATCCACTTCAAAACAGCACTTTTGCTGTGCTGACTAATACCTCAATGTCTCTTCTTGCTCCCCTTCCAAGGCAGCTTTGGAGAAGCCAACTTCTTGGTGGCAGTACACAAGGATGTCTTTGAAAGTCTGGCTTCAGACATGCATATAGGCTTCATTGAGAAAAAAAAAGGTGCTCATTGTTTTCACCATAGCAGGACAGTTGGTTAACCTCCTTCAGAGTTGTTTAAGAGTCACCATCACCAGGTTAGGTCATAGTAGGTATTTTTAGTAGATACGCTTGCTCTCCCTGTCAAATGGGGAGTGGGAGGAGGTTGTGCAAGAGCATGAGACAGTGTATTGACTGGCACTTTTGTTTCAGGGTTTTCCTCGTTGGAAGATGTGGAGAATGTACAAAATGACTGACGCAGCCAGAAGTAACTGTCCCAAAATGGGAGTGAGTGTGCAAAAGCAGTGTAGTGAGCTGAGGCATGACCAAGCACTGCCATTACTAAACTAGCTGCTTTCTGATTAAAAACACCCTTAGCAATGACTGAGCTATTCAAAGTGAGCTATTGAAACTGAGTTTCAAGAGGCCTGTCATACCATAGGTTTTCCTCATATCTCCAGCAGGTCCAGAACTTCTAGCCAGATCTGCTATTGCCATCATGGACAAAGTGAAGAACACAACAAGATGTCTACACTTGTTGTGAGCCTGGCTTTGGTATTCTGAAAGTGCTTAGCAATGCCAAAAATTTGGAAGAGATGTTATGGAGATAGCAGAAGTCCTGTTCCAAGAGAAGACAGCCCAAGGAGAGGTCTGGGCAGGAATATGACGCAAAATCAGCTCTGAAGAGCAACAGCTAAAGAAGGTCCGAGTGCAGCAAGCAACACCACTTACACAAGTGGTAACATCTCATCTGCTTGACCACAGGGATCAAGGAACAGAAGGAACTGAGAAGTGGCTGCCAAAAAATTCTAAACGAGCCAAGTTTGAGTGGTCCCACAAAATGCAAACAGGCAATGTTAGATCAACCAGAAAGTCTCCCAAATTAAAGTTAACGATCGACACCTTTTGAATAAAATTTGGACCTGCTCAGCCAGTTTACAGCAGCCTAGAAACACTGTTTTGATCCTGCTCTGGGAGGTTTAAAGCCTATCATCAGCTCACAGCCCTACCAGTTCATCTCATTACACTACCTCTAATGAAATTATTATGAGGCTTTAGATTTTTCACTGGTCAGGACAAAATTTCAATCTGTTGCATCTACTGAGAAACAAATTTATATTCAAATGCTTAAATAAGTAGGCCAGTTTTTAGAAATGCTTTGTTTACAGGTCACTAATATTTAGATGTCTATGTAGAGATTGCCGTTTGCTCTTTAGCAATGCTTGTCTGAAAAAACTAAGGTAGAGCTCTTTCATCCAAGGAAGTATTAGTGGTAGCAGAGACCATCAAAAGAGGACACCGGTTGTTCCAATCGCTTGTTTACTATATGGCCTTAATTCTACATCTAACAAGGTAGCAAATCAAATATAGTTCCCTGTCTAATGTCACTGTGATACAAACTTACAGCCAGGTCACTGCTGACCAAGCCAGTATCAAGCCATATGCTCAGTATGTGTCCTTCTGCCTTCTACTCTCAAATCTCAAAGTAAATGGTTTCCATTTCTCTCGCTCCCTTTTTAGGTAGGTAAGAAGCAGGTGCTCGAGTCCCTTCACCCCAAGGACTGCTGACTCCATGGCTTCTCAGGTTCCCGTAAAAAGAAACTGTCTGCGTGGACGAGATGCAGAAATACAAACGCAAAGACATCGGAGCTGCTGCTTTGCTCCTCGCCGCCTCCAGTCGGGCGTCTCAGTGTAGTGCAGTTTTCCCGGATCCGCGCGAGCGGGGCCGCGGAGCGCTCTGCTGCCGGGCGGGGGTGCAGACCCGGGATCCGGGGGGAGGGCACAGGCCCTCCCTCTCCGCACGCCGACACGCGAGGGCCAGAGGCACCCAGAGACGCCGGAGCGATG